ATATAAACAAATATATAATATATATATAATATAATATATATATATATATATAATATATATTTGTAAACAAAATATAAACAAATATATATTTTAAAATTATTTCAAATTATTGATATTGTTGTTACATGATGTTACTGATATACTTTTCTGCTTAATGAAAGATGTCTCTCTATGTACTTATTATACATGTACTTTTAAGTTAGTTTATTATAATTATTAAGTTATTATATTAATCATTAATTGTAGATGCAATTTTATAGATCCGGTCATGCATTGCTCCTTTTGATTAACAGAATTATTGATATCAGTCTCTAGCCCATGACTAGTGTCAGGTAATATATGTTCATATGGAGCTAAATTTACTCAATACAATATTCATGGATCAACTGTTTTAGAATGTCAGCAGTTAAGAAAAACCATTCAAATATTAAGAACCGTAAGAATATTAAATTCTTGAAATCATTTGTAAATGTTATGTACAAAAATACATTATGCAAGTATGATTACAGAAGAAATTTATGTTTGGAATGAACCTTGGAATGAATAAATATATTAGCTATATTAAAAATTATTTAAATTGTGGTGTATTGTATGAAGGATTATGGATTATTAAGATTGACATTAACTTGTAGGATGATTGAATTAGTTACCAGTTATTTAAATTATTTGATTTTTAACTTGTTTTTTTCTTGAAAGCTGTGGCAATGATATGAATTATAAAAATGAACCTGAAATATTTGAATTTCACCAAATTCTTACAGAAGAAGTAGGCCTATTTGCTGCGAAGCAGCCAATTCATATTCTTGACAGCAATTTGACCTCTGAAAGGTCATTGTTTGTCAAAAAACAAGGGCCTAAGACGACTGAAAAGCGGAGTTTCCTTCTTTCGTTCAGCCGGGTGAAATCAATTACTTTAGGCGACGTTTGTAGACTAACCACCACTTACCAACATCCGCATGTCGCGCTAGCCTTATCCTACTCTAGGCCTAGACTAGCTAGGATGGTATAGGCCTAGCCTTTAAGGGATGAAGGTCCCAATGAAAAACAACGTCGCTCCTTGATAGCTAACATTGTCTATTTAACATCACAATAATTCATTATTAGACCTATAGTTGTTTTTTGAATTGTACTCCACAAATCTCAGCCGATACCTCGCACAACTCGAGTAACGTCTCGTACCTATTGTCGTGACGTCATGGCTCACTGGCTCAAACTTGCGATGTCTCGCATTTGTGATCAAATAACACGCTGGCTCGCACTTTGGCAACACTCTTTGGCAGTCAACTCGCCCCTAGAAAACCCGCCCTTGGAAACTTGCCCCATAAAAAAATGTACACTTCCTAGGCCCTGCAGTCTTCAAAATAAAAATTGTAACCTTTGGTATTCAACTAAATTTTCCACCTACATAGAAATTTTTAAAAAACTTTATTAAAAAAAACCTAAACCACAATTCACTACTATACAGTGTAGACACTTTTTGACAAAAATGAAAAATTACGACTTTGTTACCCAATGAGAAGTGTTCTAAAATAGACAATGGGTTGTGTCTCATATTATTTGTTATATTTTTATTATTCATTATTTTCACTTGACTCACATAAATAATTTTGTTCGAAGAACATTTATATACAGTTGTACTTTGCAGCACTTCACTTGCAATTTTCAATTTCTAGTATTATTAATATTAGCTATGAAATAATTAAAATTCCAAGAAAATTATGTGAAAGGCTGAAATATCAAGATATTTTAAAGTAGGTATTGTAACATGAATTGCAAGGTTATGAAATTCTTGAATTATGTGATGTTATGAAGAATTAAAACATGAGGATGTAGTTTAATGCTGTATGTTTTACAACTCGATGACTCATAATATTCTTTAATGCTATAGAACGCAAGCAGAGGTTGCACACACATGTCGCGGTACTATTAACTTAGCAGGTGCTTACATCGACACGGAAGACTCGTGTAACTTTGTCATCTCTAGTGGAACTCAGACATTTCATTTGAAGGCCAGCTCGGAGGTAGAAAGGCAGAAATGGGTGACTGCATTGGAACTAGCAAAAGCCAAGGCTATTCGAATGACCGAGGAGTATTCAGGTATTGTACTATGAATATTCTACTAAACATGTTTCATTCTATAGTAATTTACCTTTTGTTGCTTGCCTGCTTCTTATGTCTTTTTAGTTTTTCTTTATATTAATATTGGACTATGCATATAAGCATAATAAATTGGTGGTAGGATAACATGCAAGGCTAAAAGACTAAAACTAATGATCAAGGCCTATTATTTGAAATATTATAAAGTTTTATTTTGGAATAAATCTTGGCTGAAAACAATTTACATTTTTTCATTGAAAGGAAGTTTTATAGTAATTGTTATTGTCGTGATGGAATAATAGACAATAACTGGATTTGCGTCAGAAGAAACATATAGGTGTAATTTTTTTGCCCTACCTGACGTGGAAATGTACCGAATACTCAGTACATTTGTAAACATATGCGAAAAAAATCGCAAGTTGTTCTCGGGTGGGACTCGAACCCACAATCTCCAGATCACTAGCCTGGCATCATACCTCTAGACCACCGAGCTTGCGCCTGATGGCCAGGGTTGAATTCGAGTCCAAGAAAGCAGCGGGTACTGCAGTGTTGATAGTAATTGTTATTGTCGTGATGGAATAATAGACAATAACTGGATTTGCGTCAGGGAAACATATATACAGTAGGTGTAATTACACCTATACAAGGAAGTTTTACGTCAATTTATTGGTTTAAACGTTTTCTTTCCTAACTGATGTAACATTTTCTAGTATTTTTAAAGATTTTTAAATGTAATAGTTTTTGTAGTTAAAAAAAGATTGTTTGTAATGTCGTCATCACTGCAAATCTGGTTCGTAAAATCAAGAGTTTGTAATTGAGAGGTTTGTAATTGGGTAATTTGGTGTACATACTCAAAACTACGCTTAGATATTATACCAAAGCCCTATGCTAGCTGAATAAATCACAAAAGTTTTATTTCTTGTCAAAAAAATACTTTACTGACCTTGAAAATTGCACTTGTAACATATTCATCTAATGTTTAATGTTTATTCCATGTACAGCAAGGCAATTTGGGAGTGAACAATAATGCATTGCATACAGTGAGCTACTGTTACAATATGGGAATCATGTTTTCCACTGCTATGTTAAAACTTCATATGAGTGGTATATTCCAATTTAATATCATAATCTTAGGCATACAGTTTTGTGCGATGTTTTAAAACAACAAATCTCTGAAGTAGTCACATAGGTTACTTTACATGATTATTATCTTGAAACATTTTAAAATAATAATGTATAAAAGTAATTTTGCATTACCACAGTATGTTTACTAGAGAATTGTAGGCCAGCGTACAGTACTGTATTACACAATATCTCCAGGGTTCAATTAAACTTATGTCGTCACGCAAACAAGCAGACACTCTGGCAGGAATCGTTCATCTAAATGTAATTCCTGTATAAAATGTATTCCTCACGCTTATCTGCTTATAGTTAGCGGACAAAAATTAGCCCTGCTTCAATTGTCGTTGGAAATTAATAGTTAGTGCCCGAGGAGGCTAAATATGTAAGGAGCAGCGTGGAATGGGTTTGATTTTCGAAGCGCTCATCGATATGATAAAATTGTCTTTGCTTTAAAGTGCCTGACTGTAAACAAGATGAGTGGATGGTCAGTTCATTGTAATGATCAGCAAATAACTGTAACTAAATGCATCATAGCCAAACAGAGGATAAATTTCTCTGGGTGTTTATGTTCCCAAAAGGCATAGAATAATTATTGCAGACTCAGAATTAATTATGACGTCATCTTGGAATGTGTCACTTTGAAAGAGTCCCCAAGGGGAAACTCCAGTGCGGGAGGAATTTGGTATGATGCAACAATAACATTCACAGGCCTAGTTATCTTTAGGAAATTGCTTATTGAAAAGCTATGTAGAAATGCATTTTTCATTTTTGGTGAGCCATATATCATAATATTGATTGTCTACGTGTATGAAAGTTCAATTGAATTGGCAACAGTGATGCTGCTTATCAACCAAGTTCATTACAGTGATGGCTATTTGTATCCCTACAAGGACAGCTACTCATTATTCTTGTTTTCTTTCCTAAATAGTTTAATAAGTAAGAAGTTGAATTGATGACAATTGTGATAATTATGCTGACGTCCTATTTCAAACTATGTCTGTTTCGTAGATAAAGTGGCAATGACGTCGCCTCCAATCTTGTTTGGTTGCCGACAACTAGAGTTGGGAAGATATGTGTTGTTTGTATACATCATGTTATTGAAGCATGGGTATTTGTTGTATGATCCTAGAGTGTAGGCCCATGATATACTGAAAAAAACATAGTAATCTTGATGTACACTATATTGGTGGGAAACATTATGATGTTAAATATCAGAGTTTTTAAAAAATAATTTCTAATTCAGCAACTTTATTGGTATCATGAAATATATTTTTAGAAACATAAAATAAATATTAATGAGTTGTAAAGTAATTTATGGTTGATAAGGTAATTTTATTATAATTTGGTATCCAGTGCACAATTATTTTTGTTTTAACTGAGAAACCTTTCGGAATTGTCTGATTGTGAAGCTAATCAATACAGTATACCATGTGCTAAACAGTATTCGCTTAATGAACATCTACAGTACACCATCATCAATTCCACATTGTTATTTGAAAAAACCCAGAGGTGTTTTGAAATCTGATGTACATCATATTGCCATACATACACAATTATGCCACATCAGACTATAGACGGCATAGCCAGCTCGTTGGCTCGGTGGATCAGCTTTGTCGATCGATGTTGAATTTATGTTGTGGTGTATCTTTCCCACATTCTAAGCGGAAGAAAATACGGTATAGGTTAGGTATGTATCGCTAATAATTAAAAGTTTAGATGAACTTTTTTGCTACTTTTATATAATTACAAAATAAATTATATTAATGTATAATATATAAACAATTAAAACTATAATAAAGTTCAAATTAAACTTGCATAATGATAAGGTGTTTAAAGTTTATGTTTACCAATGGATAAAATGTTCTAAACTAATGCAGAAACAAATGATATTCATCGAGGCTTGGTATACGACATACAAGTCTATTTAGTTAGCCTGCTGTCTATGAAATGTTCTTGTATGTTTTAGTGATAGTAGACTTAGAAATATCCTAACAGTCAAGAGATCGGTATCGGAAAAGAAGTGCGTTTTATAACCTGAAGGAAGATGCGCATTATAAATGCCTATACCAGTGCCAGTAGATAGTACATTAATGCAAATTCAGTGTGATTCTGATTCAATCACCAAATTATATACTACTATTTGTATTGAAATGAAATATTGATGTAAATTATAAATCTTTATATACAGTAGCAATATTATTTATACATTATCATAAATAAAATATATTTGTTCCAGTTTCATATTCTGTATTTTTTATTTTTAATACATTCTAATGAAACCATGTCAATTATGCAGATGAAGTCATAATTAAGTTGGCATTTTGACTTCTATACTCTAGTTATGAATACATTTGCGCTGTTCATTGTCAACAAAGGTCTTTAGATATACAAGCCTTTCTATTGATTTTGAATATTGAAACCCCTATATGTCTAAACTACCAACGCTAATCTCATCAAGTGATGCTGACAGTTGAATTAAAATAAATATATAATTATCATACCGTGTATAGGATTCTACAGTGGCACCGCGCATAACATTTTTCTGGGCGATTAAAAGATATACGTGTGGATGAGTAAGAGTTTATTGCATGCAATTTATATTGTAGATAAACGTTCAATTATAGATTTGGAATGAGTAGGTGTTCAGGTAGAAATCTCCTACTTGTATAGTTATTTAATTTAAATGGCATTTTATGATATTTTTAGACACTCAGTCGATACAGGTTAATGGTACTTGTATGTCGTAATATATTTTTTTCTTTCACATCCTGTAGCATGTACTCTCCATCAATTAGTGGATGGAATGATGCTTTACAAACTACTGTACTACCCAATTCACATACAAAATTCTAGCTAAATTGAACAAATTGTTACATTTACAAAAGCGTGTGAATGCACATCCATGTAAAACAAATGTAAAATTTGTGTAATGGTTGTTAATCTTTACAGATCTCAGTGAGGTCTGTAAAGTTTACAGAGACGCACATGCCCAAGAATTTTATTCGATTTGACATGGTTTTTAACATATTTTCTAGCCTTGTGCCATGAATATTCAAAAACAAACCCAATACTTCTAGGCCTAGCTTTTTACAGTGATAACTATACTATGTTATTAAAAGTCTAGATAGTATGAGAAGGAAATTTATACAGAAATGGTAATATCAGTGACTTAAATGACAAACAGAGGCCTTAGCAATTGCAGTAAAATCCAGTGTCGGGGCTGTCAAAGATATCCGCAGCTAGTCCCTGTGATGAGTATTATTAAGTCGACTTCTATATTTGTTTTTTTTTTATATAAAAGTCACTTTGAAAAGTTGCTTTCATATGTTGTATGTACTACCAAATATGATTAAGTTGGTGATGGCTAGCTTCTTCAATACAGGCCTTGCATTAATAGCGACGTCAATGGACCAAAGTTCAGAGTTGTCAACACTTACCGCTACTTCACAGCAAGAATCCATTTTGGTCTTCACTTTTATTTCAAAAATATTCATCAAATTATTCATTCTCTGTCCAGGCAGTACATGTTATTTTAATTCTGTATACTTTTGCCAAATAAATATTATTATAATTATTATTATTTTTTTATTTTAGTGATTAAAAAAATTTATATATAACTTTGGGTGTTAGCCCTCACACCATTAGGCATAAGACCAGTCAAAAGCCTATCATGTAGTTGGTTATTTGGTCAATCATGCATTTCTAATGATACTTTTACTAGGATTTTACATGAATAGAAAGTGTGTGTAGTGTGTGTGTGTTTGTGTAAATGCAATGAGTCTTGGTGGGACGATCCCAGGAGATATACACTACAGTATCTGTGTAATAATTGGTTACAGTTTGTTACGTTTTTTTTTTTTTTTTTTTTTTTTGCTTCTTTTTTTTTTTTTTTTTTTTTTTTTTTTTGCTGTACGTGTGAATTGGGTATAAGCAAAGATACTAGAAATACAAGATCTAGAAGTGAAAATAAAAAAATAATAGTTCTAAGGGCACATAAGTCAAAGGCACTTATCTCAACATTTTACTAAATTAAGCCAACAGAGAGAAATGTTCATGTTTTCTCCCACAAATTGCCAAATTCCCTAGCTTTTTAATATGGCAAGTAAGTGAAGAGTAGATTTAACCCCTTAACAACTTCCTGGGTGCATTCTAACATTGTCGATGGTTCGTAATTGTTATGAAGATGTTAATATTTGATAGCATTTGATTCAGTTTATGTGTGCAATATCCATGGTGAGCCTGAGGAGGAACCAACCTCTGTTATTAGTATTGATGGTATTGATTTTTCACATGTATTACACATAACATAATGCATTTCACAAAATTCTAATCTCAAAACTTGTCTGACCTTAGTCAAGTTTGACCCCAAAAAAGTGATTGTTTGACCTTGTATTTTATTTTATCCTCCTCAGGTATAGGTATACAGGTATACATACTAGGTATAGGTATGCAGGTACAGTAGGTACATATGTACCTGTCTCTTATACACATCTAGTAAGAGTGCGTCCGGCCATGCGATTCTGCGCTGTATTGTTGTTTTATTCTTTACTGATTCATGATTATGCTTTAATTGTTTTGTGTATTATTTGGATAATAGCAACGATTTCTACCGCCACTAAGGAGATTATGTATTCACCGATGTCACTGTCTGAGTGTCTATTCCAGTTTGTTTTTATATCTAGTATCTTTGTTGAGAATTGATAATAAAATACGCGACGACTTGGTAACGAAAGTTTGGCACAAGTTTTTTTAGATCCAGCTGTAGGGGGCGTCCAATTTTTCTTTTTCCCACCATGCATTTCGGTGGAACACGGTGGAACACTTTTTTTGTGTGGAGAACTCTATCTTGTATTTCTAGTATCTTTGGTATAAGTCTCTCTTTGGGACTTGGGGAGTGAAGTTGCTTTATTTAGTCATAAAATATATATTCTTGTGTTATAGGATTTGAATCCAAACACTGGAATTGGAATGCATACTGTACATCTTTATCCAAACTGTGAAAGTACAGGATTTTTTTCTTACAATTCATTAACTCTACTCTACTGTACTGAAAATGTGCTAAGCAACACATCACACGCAACCACAACAGACAAATCAGATGCTTACAATTTTATTAATTATATAAATATTGATTCAATGTAAATTATGATGTGAGGTTATTTGTTTAAGATGTTGTTCCTGTGTGCAATATGGTTCATGCATACTTAAGGAACCTTGTACTACTAAGATAGTATAATACATACTCCAAGTATCGAAATGCACGCCATCGTGTCGAGATTCAATATTTCGACATTAATTATGTCATCATCATGACATCGTGACATAATTAATGTCGAAATATTGAATCCCGACACGATGGCGTGCATTTCGTTACTTGGAGTATGTATTATGCTATCTTATCTGAGACTAATCAGTGGACCTTTTGGTTTTTGTACTACTAATTATTGTAAGGAGGAGAACCACTATTTACTTCTACTACAGTTTCAGTTAACTTTATTCTTTGAAGTAAGTTCAAGATTCCCATATCATTTTCATTGAATATTTATTACTGTTATGTCATAAGATTTTATTTATAATTGTTGATTGATTGATTGACATATTGATTGAATATTCTTAAATTTCATTATATTAACTGCCAGATGATTCTGGTGAGGAGCTCCCACAGACAGAAGCGGACAAAGCAGACATTCAAAATTCCATGCGCAGTTTTGGCAACAAACTTGAGGATTTGAACACTTGTAATGACCTGATCGTAAAGCATGGTGCTGCTCTCCAGAGGGCGCTAAGTGATCTAGAATCAGTGCAAGAGACTTCGGAGCTTCCAACCAAAATTAAAGCTATCACAGAACGTGCTACTCTTTTCAGAATCACATCCAATGCTATGATAAATGTAAGTATGCTTATTTTATTTTCATTTTTAGTAATTAAATGCTTTTCGCAATCCAGGACTTTGCTTATTAATTATTCATTCTAACAATGATACATTGGCACTTGCAGTTGCAGTATGAGAATAAATATGGGCAATAATATTCTGGGCCGCATGAAAAATTAAGTGAATTCAACTGGACGTGCCACCAAGTTTAGATATAAATGAATGGACGTAATCACTTTTCTACAACCGACCCAACTGAACCATCTGTCAGGCTATAGTTAGTTGAGAATAAATGTGTAGCTATAAAATTGAGAAAAAAATTTCTTAATGTTTAATGCTAAATTTTTCAAGGTGATGTTATTAATCGAGTTCAGATGCATAGGGTGTCTAGAGCATGACAGTACACACAAATAATTCTGCTAGGATAAATTAAGAGACGTACTCTGTTCTAATTATTCTTCCAAGTGGGAAACAAGCATTAATACAAAGCATTTAGATAAGTCAGAAGTTAGGATTTTGTTTCAAATTACCTTTCAATTTTGATCTATAAATCTCAAATTTCTAAATACTAATGATGCTTCTTAAAGTCATATAGGCTGTGAATGCATTCATTACTACTTCTACTGTATATTGACTTAAATTTTGTTTTCAATATTGATTGCTAATGACTTGCCCTAGATTTGAAAAGCAGCATTTATGAACGGAAATGGTGGACTTCATTTCATTTACGTTATTCAGCAACTTTTTATCTAAGACGCTTACATTCTAATTCCAGGGTAACTGCCAGGTTTTTGACTTTACTCCCTTCCATTCATGACTCCATCCTCTAACCCATTTATTCTTAAAATGAACTTTAGTCGTAGTTCAAGCTAAAACTTCAAAATTACGTCATTTAGTATTTTTAAAACGAACTTCGACTAGGAATACGACTAAATCAGGCGAACCTCGACTAAAATTATACCTCCTCAGTGAATACAAGTTGAAGTTGCAACTAAGACTAAATGAAGTTATAGTTCGAAGTTCGACTAAAGTTTGTTTTAAGAATATGGGCATGAGTTTCATATGCAGCATCATTTTCATCCTGCAGTGGGCGAGTTATGTAATTGCTAGAAGTGAAAATAAAAAAATAATAGTTCTAAGGGCACATAAGTCAAAGGCACTTATCTCAACATTTTACTAAATTAAGCCAACAGAGAGAAATGTTCATGTTTTCTCCCACAAATTGCCAAATTCCCTAGCTTTTTAATATGGCAAGTAAGTGAAGAGTAGATTTAACCCCTTAACAACTTCCTGGGTGCATTCTAACATTGTCGATGGTTCGTAATTGTTATGAAGATGTTAATATTTGATAGCATTTGATTCAGTTTATGTGTGCAATATCCATGGTGAGCCTGAGGAGGAACCAACCTCTGTTATTAGTATTGATGGTATTGATTTTTCACATGTATTACACATAACATAATGCATTTCACAAAATTCTAATCTCAAAACTTGTCTGACCTTAGTCAAGTTTGACCCCAAAAAAGTGATTGTTTGACCTTGTATTTTATTTTATCCTCCTCAGGTATAGGTATACAGGTATACATACTAGGTATAGGTATGCAGGTACAGTAGGTACATATGTACAGCCTGTACATATGTATAGATACACGTAGGTACAGGTATGTAGGTACATGTACAGGTGCATAGATACAGCCTGTACATATGATAGGTACACATAGGTATAGGTATGCAGGTACATGTACAGGTGCATAGGTACAGCCTGTACATAGGTACAGGTACACATAATAGGTATAGGTATGCAGGTACATGTACAGGTGCATAGGTACAGCCTGTACATAGGTACAGGTACACATAATAGGTATAGGTATGCAGGTACAATAGGTACATGTACAGATGCATAGGTACAGCCTGTACATATGATAGGTACACATAGGTATAGGTATGCAGGTACATGTACAGGTGCATAGGTACAGCCTGTACATAGGTATAGGTACACATAATAGGTATAGGTATGCAGGTAAAATAGGCACATGTACAGATGCATAGGTATAGTCTGTACATAGGTCCAGGTACAAGTACACATACAGTAGTAGGTATAGGTACTGTATATAGGTACGTAGGGGTACAGGTAAACTTCCAGCCTAGGGATTCGAACCAAAGACTCTATACATACATTCAGTTTCTAGTAACTGAACCATGAGAACAAGTTGGAATACACCCTAGGATTTGTCCTTTAGGATTAATTTTATTCAAAAGTTTCCTTTGTTTTAGATGTTTCATGTAGTTGTGAATATATAATTTCTTTCTGCAAAAAATAATAAACTTTCATAATATGCAATATAAAAACAGGAAGAAAGTCAAGGTCACTATGTCTTGAATAGTGTTTGCTTTATCAGTTTTAATATAGAAAAAGTTAAATTGAATATTGATTATTAATTAAAAAAAATTTAATTAAAATATAAAATACAGTCTTCTGCAGTGGAATGATGGTATTCAGGAGAAATAATAATAATAATAATAATAAGATTTATTAAGCGCACATCTCCACTAAAGTGCTCAAGGCAAACCAAAAATTGACTTGAAACTCACATAAAACCTTTACTTGACTAGCAAAATATTTTATAATAAGTATAAAAACAATAAACAAAACATTTACAACCATGGCATATGTGTAGTAGATGAAAATATTCATATACTTTATATAATTTATCCAATGAAAAATATTTTTGAGATTGCAATTAAGGTTATGTATACATATACAAATATGATTGTAAAATTCATATGTTAGATAGTAACATATGTTAACATCAGCAAATGGTAATTTATTGCAAAAGATCATAATGCCAACTTTCGAACTCTGTTTTTTTTTTTTTTTGTTTTTTTTTTAACCATGAATGTTATAGTTAACTGGAAATGCAAACTCCACGCGGTTCTTGTCTATTAAGAAGTATCTACTCGCCCTTCAGAACTAGCATTCTGGGTTCGATGCCAGGAAATTTACTTAATAAAAACATTAAGCCTCCGTGCATATAAATGAAGTTTGAGTTCATTTTATTGTCTTTCCACTTTGTGAATCTTCTCGTGTAAATTTTACAATATAATATTAGGTGGTGGTTTGTGTTACTGGAAATGATTCATTCCGTCAACCTGCTCTTTCTGTGATATATAGCTTATATAGTGCCCTCTATGAAGAGACGTTTAAAGTGTTGGTTGATGCTGTGTACAACATAACCCTCGTGCGCATTCAGTTCATTACCACCGGTGGTGCTGTACTATGGTGGGTTCACAGAAGACAAGTCTAAATTTTCTAGTGTTGTAACGAGGACAATATTGATATACTTTACTTTACTTTAATTAAACTGCATATAAACTTGCGCAAGAGCCCTAAATATCGACAAAACCAAAATATCTCCAAACTAATCAATTACTAAAAGAAAATAAAAGACCCATATATAACCTTACACCTTTGACCTGTATATATTGATGTGTGCCCTCTAGAGGTAAGAAAATGAGAAATCCTTGAAAGTAATCAGGCAGGCAAGCGTATTGATTGGTTGGCCATTTGTGTGCACATGAGCTGTCTCTGATGGGTTCATTATAGATCTGTTAACACAACCAAACCAGGTCTGCCAGACTCTTTAGAATTCTTTCAGAATTTCTATAGATAAATACACACTTTGTGTGTATATCTTGTTAACTTTGTTTGATCGCTTCTTGAAGTTGTTACGTTATAGTTTTGCTTTGCTGTTCAATTACATGCCACAAACATGAATTTTTGGAATACTTTTATTTTTGTCTCGTTTATCAGGCTTGTAACGATTATCTAGATTTGGCTCAAACTCAAACTAAAAAGTGGCAAAGAACTTTGATATCGGAACGTGATCAACGAATACGTTTAGAAGAAACGTTAGAACTGCTTGCGAAACAGCATAACTCATTAGAACGAGCTTGTCGAAGCGACCGAGGACCTGACAGTCTTGGTACACAAGGTAATAACTACTTTATTCATCAAAACTTTTTACAGTGTCTGTATATGTTTAATATAATGAGAAATTGAATATATTTTTATTTCAAATATTTGTATTCTTTGTATACATATTTTTTGTTTTTTTTTTAGATTGGACAACTCAATATTTTAGTATTTGTAAAATTCAAACACATTCATAAAAATTCATAATTTATCATTATAAAATTAATAATTTATGATAATAATACCCTTGTGTTTTCACTTGGAATGTAATAAATGATTTTTCAAAAGGTTGAATGAATTTTGAGAATGTATTAAACGTGAATGAGACAAGGTTAATGAAGTTCTTTGAATGCTGTGAGAATCTGATAGCAATTAAAATCTAAATAGTGAAATTGCTAAAGAACTGTTTAATGTGTTGGGGAATGCAATGCACTTTATATAGCATGCTATGGATGAAATGTTTTCTTGCAAAGGTTAGGTCAGGTTATATTAGTTCAGGTCGTATATATTTAATTGTTTTTGTCTTGTCAACCCCTGGGTGATCTGCAACGGGGCAAGTGTTTCTCTTTTGGCCTACGCCTTTCCATCCCTATCACTTCTTCCTTGGGTGGTGGCTCATATCTGGCGTCATGCGTGCAAGGATCTCCTCATGTTTTTTTCAATATCTAGGCCTAATTCTAGTATTCATTACCAACCGTTGCTAACTCCATGCATTTTGGTAGATATATTTATTATATTTTTTTTTCCATAGAGCTTGGAAAACTTGAGCAATATTACTGGATTTATTCAAAGTTCCTATATAATGAGATTGACTTGCCTGTGCTTTACATTAGAAGCATGTTATTATTTTTAGAAAAGAAGCTTCATACTGTAATATTCTAATGTTTTTAATGTATTCTACATTGGTTTTTACATTTTTTAAAAATATAGACTGCTGACTGTCTGTGTGACCAATGATAGCGTATGGGACTTTATAATTAAACATTGAATCATTCACTAGAAACACTGATGAATAGATGTGCTGTATTCTGTATACACTTACACACTGCTCCAAATGTAAACACTCTCAGGAGTGAACCCATATCTAGACAGGGTGGCGGCCAAAGTGGCTAGCAAACTGATGAATGTGAAAAATCAATACATAATGAGAAGAATTTTTTTTATTAATTAACAATCAAAAAATATATTTATCAGTTTGAAAAAAAAAAAAATGTTTTCTCATTCATCACAAGTTATTCTAAAATCATGACAAATTTAGAAAAATTATTTTAATAATCATAGCCTGTAGCTTGTAATGATCATATAGCAATTAGTTAATTGCCTTTTCCCAAATAATATTATACACTTGAAAAATATATACATTTTAGTTATTAAGAGTTTTAACATGATTACAATTAACTAAATATATCTCATACAGTCAGTTAATATAGGTTCTATTCATCTGATAAATAGTAATAACATTATAATTAGGCAAAAATATGTTTACATGCCATAGAGAAAATAATTATTCTGTACTAGACTGGAACATGCTGTTGATCTCTCAAATTCAAGATTCATTTGATAATCCATTTGAAAATTTGGTAAAAGGTGGTAAAATATTCATTGCAATGTAAGAATAAAAATGATGATAATAAAGAGGATATTGAATCTCTTTGTCAATTAGAAGAAATTTGAAATGCAGTGTAAATTGATGCATAAATGTCATACATTATTATTGCTTTTTATTATTTTTGTTGTTAAATGTTATAATTAGCATTAATATTAACCAAATACTAATAATAATTTTAGCTGATCTTTCCTTTCACTTCATATCTTGTTTGAGATCTTAATATCTTTAATAACTAGCAAACCATGAGTTCCAAATGTCATAATCGCCCTGCAAGTCATTTGCTGTCATGGTTTTGCAGTAAAAATGAACTCAATGCAACAAAATATGAAGGCAGGCATTTCTTTTAATGAGATTTCTAAAATTGATGAACCTCTTGTGTATGGTAATATTTTATCACTGTTATAGAATGACCTTAGGAAGCATGTTAAGGCTATTCCTGTATTCTGAACACTCAGGAGCAGGTCCCATGGGCCTTGTTTAAACCCATTTCATTTATTTATTTATTTTTATATTATTTATTACCCTTCCAACGGCCATATATGGTATTCAAATTTAATATAAATTAATTTATACAGAGTAACATTCATAATCATATTAAATATAATCATATAAGAAATTCATAATTATAGACCATACCATAAAATCTCTCCCCATGAACCCCACCAAGGATTTTAGTTTAGAACCCTAACTAAGGGTTTAGGTGATCCCTTGATTCAGAATGGACTCGTTTTACCCCCGTCACAAAATTACTGGAGCCACCAAGCATATGAACCTATGAAATATGTAAAATAGAGTTGATTTGTTTATTAAACATAATGGTAAACTGTTTATTACACTATCAAACAACATATTTTAGTTCTTTTTGTTACATTTATACATCAGAAAATGTATTTCAAAAATGTTGATGCAAAATTCAAACACATGAATTATATTGTGAAAAAAAAATGTTTACAAAAAGACTACCCTAGACTAGACATTATTGATTACCCATCAGATTGGATTTGACAGTAAATTTATGTTTATAGACAGCTACTAAACTCCATGTTTTATTCTGGGGATTAGAAAAACTGTCCTATACTCCTATTTGTAAAATATGATATAATAAATATAGAATATATATTTGTGAATAAAGGAGAGAATAATATTAAATATTGAAACAGTGAGTGTGGGGATCTGCAGTCATTTTAATGCCCTGCTTATTAAATTGTACTATAGTCTTAGCTGGCATGTAGCAATTATTTTTTGACGTTGCTAATTGTAAAGTGACTTTAATGATGCAGTGAATTCATTGCTGGATATGGGATAGCTTCAGTGATGACAATCATCACAATCATTGTTGACATCACTATTATTAGTAACCATCATTACTTTCTTTGTTTTCTTGGTTTATAAATCTCTCTCGTAGTTTGTAATAGTGCATGGTGACCTAATGAATGAATGGATGTTGAAACATGATTTTTAGAAATGAATTTATACCAGTTTATAAAGCTTCCAAAATCATTTTGAACATAATAAATAAAGTATTTTTGTTCTATGTTAGTCATAGCTAATTTACATATTTGTACAATTTGGAAGAACATTAATAATTGATTAATAAGAGTCACTAATTAATAAGCATTCTCCACTTTCCAAATTACTTTTTAATTCTTGCATTTGCCAGCTTTTCATAATTTTTTCTTTAGTTCAATTCTCATTCAATTGCAGGTGACTATCTATATTATTTTTAAATTATTTATTTTACCACATGATTATAAAGTAGATCTTCTGAAACTTGCAGCAATGCGTAAACTGTTGACCTTTGCCTGATTCTTCAAAATGTATGCTAAGATGTTTATGATTTACTGTACAATCTCTGCCAGTAAAAGTATATATTCTATTGATACCACCTGTCTCTTTTCATTCCTTCCACTGTACAGTACACATTTGAATAAGTACTCACACTGATATATTACTAAACTGATGAATGAATAAACAGTTAAGCACAGAATAATTCAGATATGTAGAATCAATTGATTCCAATATTTAGTTTTTTTTATTTTTATTTTAGATAAATATACTGTCTGTTTCAACTAAAATTACTGGAGGAAAAATTAAATGGTTAGCATTCAATTTTAAATTTAAATGAGAACAAATTTAATATGTATTTAACAGGAAAGGTGATACAGAGTATTGTGGAAAGCACATGTTGTACAACCTTAATATGATCACTGGGATTTCGTTATTAGTGTTAATAGGATTACACACCATATAATATTACAGTCAGTTTCCCTGCTCTGCAGTTTCAAGTCCCTAAAACAACTCACAATTTTATTCATAAACCGATTTATAAAAGTTTCCAATTTTTTAATTCTTAACTTAAATATTCTCTGATAATGCATGAAAAATGCAAGACATACTAATGACGGTAAAAACAGGAGAATTATTGTAGTGACGTAAACATGCTAAGAGGTTGGTATTGATTAAGAAGATAGCGCAATGTTCAGTTGTCACTAATTCTTTTATTGATTGATACAAAGTGGATCAGTGTGTTGCTTAAACTGGAATACCCCATAGTGACTGGTGTCTTATAATATCTAATACTGTATTTTTCCAAATAAAAAATTATATTTGAATATTAAACGCATCTGTTTTACATTTGTGCT